TAGGAGAGAACTAAACAAGTTCCAGTGGACCAAGAGGCGAAGAAAAGATGCTGGCGTTGGATAGAGCACACGTTGAGAAAAGAAAACAGTATAAGTAGAATGCCTTTGCACTGGAACCCACAGGAACATTGCAATAAAGGAAGACCATAAAATGGAGATGGGAGCTGGAGAGTGAAGTTAACAAGATGGCAAGGGCATGGAGAGAGCTACATGCGATAGCGAAAGATAGAATGACTCGGCGTGAATTGGCTGAGGGCCCATGCTCCATTGAGGGTTAGAAAGGCAGAAGAAGAACAAGGGCAGCTGGATATTACGTGTCTGTCCTACATTTGTAGAACAATAGGTACTCAATGGGTACTCAATGGGTACTTAATAGGTACTCAATCGGTACTCAGTCGGTACTCAATGGGTACTCAGTCGGTACTCAGTGGGTACTCAGTCGGTACTCAATGGGTACTCAGTCGGTACTCAATGGGTACTCAGTCGGTACTCAATGGGTACTCAATCGGTACTCAATGGGTACTCAATCGGTACTCAAAAGGTGCTCAATCGGTACTCAATCGGTACTCAATCGGTACTCAATGGGTACTCAGTCGGTACTTAATGGGTACTCAGTCGGTACTCAATGGGTACTCAATCGGTACTCAATCGGTACTCAATCGGTACTCAATCCGTACTCAATCCGTACTCAATCGGTTACTTAGTCAGTACTAGAACTTCACAAGAATATATCCAGGTGTCTATTTTAGGATGGGTCTCATGTTGATGGTCTGTGGCTTAGGCGTTGCAACACTCTTCGTAATGCCAGGGTGCCGGGTTCGATCTCAGCTTTCGTTGGTTTAGAAGACAGTGGTATCGAGAAGCCGACCGTCTAGCAAGCAATGGCAAACTACTAGGCGTAAATTTGCCTAGAAAAACCACAGCAGCCACAAATTGCTGGGGTTGATTCTGCAGTGTCATGTAAAGGATACGCAACTAACTTTTTAACTAACTCAGGTTAACAAGAAAGACAATTCTGGTCCCTAATGGTATTTCACTGTATGAGACCTCTGAACTCCCAGATTTAACCGGCTTAAAATGGGTGCCAGGTAAGTCCTGGGAGGTAAAGTCACCCTCCCCTAGCTAAACTTCGACATCACTATTGATTGCAACAGTATTTAAATGCAAGAACGCTAATCAACTATTAATAATCGAAGTCGTCCCCTTGTGGGATGCAATTTTTCATTGTTTAAAACCCCACCCTGACTTTTGCTGGGAGCCTTGAATATAGCTGGACTACAATTGTGGCCATAACGGCTGAAACGGGTTTCTGGGACCTCTCCACGGGTGATCCTCACCCGCATGGTGGCACTTTGTGTCCCCGGGTGTTTATCGCTTGTGTGATGTCCTGGTGGGGTACAACAAACAAGCAAGCAAGCAAACACCAGTAAAGGTGTTTACAATCATAATAAAAGCACTTATACTAAACATTTGGTTTTGTATTCTTCCAAACACAGGAAATCCCGCACTTGGCGGGTAAGTCCAACATTACAGGGGTGTTGGGGTTCGGGCTAGTTGCTGTTCATTTCAAAACGTAACTCACCTATATTACTGGACTTTACGGGGAACTCTGGGATTCCCCTGTGTGGGGCGAATACGTAATAATCTTAAAGAACCATACGCTTGGCTCGCTAGCTCAGTTGGTTAAACCTGACTGCGCGGCGACCCGGTGACGAACTTCTTGTGGTCCGGGTTCACGCCCCGGGTAGGCAGAAAAGCCATATTTCTCCCATATTTACGATATCGATCATGAAATCAAGGCCGAATAGTTGTAGTAGTAGATTTAACCCCACCAGGACACCACACAAGCGATAAACACCCGATGAGACAAAGTGCCACCATGTGGATGAGGATCATCGAAGAGAGGTCCCAGAAACCGCGTTCAGCCATTAGACCATATTTATGACCGGGCTATATTGCGGGCCCTGGCAGGAGCCAGGGTAAGGTTCAGATAACGATAAATTGCATCTCCCAAGGAGGTGGTGGGAGAATTTTAATACTTTCAAGGCCGACTGACTGACTGACTTTCTACCCCACCAGGACATCACACAAGCGATAAACACCCGATGACACAAAGTGCAACCATGCGGATGAGGATCGCCGTGGAGAGGTCCCAGAAACCGCGTTCAGACAATTGGCCATATGTATGGCCTGCCTATATTGCGGCCCCTGGCAAAAGCCAGAGTAGGGCTTCAAATGACAAAAAATTTCGTCCTAAAAAGGACGAAACTGGATATTTCAAGGCCGAAGGGTTGCGATATCCATAGTACCGAACCAAAGGGTTAACAACTCGTGATCATTAAAAAAAAGCATATATTTTATTACGGCTAGTCTTTTAAAGCTTTATTTTGTCGCCCTGAAAATGTTTTTGAGTCAAACATCATATGCCCAGTATGTCACTGGCGCAAAAGTGGTCTTTATATTTCTATTTTGTTTCAGTCCCTAGGTTAGGAAATCGTCTGCGGGCCACTGCCGGGAAGGGGACGCAATCACCTGGCCTTAAGTTTTGAGTCACTAAGGGAAAACACTGAATATTTATTGTAACCACATGTAGCCCTCACGGTTGTAAATCCTAAACTTCCTTTCATTTTTGTGATTGGTTTTTCACTGACTGCTAATGTCATTCTTCTTCTCCTTCTTCCTTCGTTCTCCTACGCCTCCATTTCCTCCTCCTCCTCTTTCTTCTTCTTCTTCTTCTTCTTCTTCTTCTTCTTCTTCTTCTTCTTCTTCTTCTTCTTCTTCTTCTTCTTCTGTTATACCGGTTGTAAACTGCAGGGAAACATTTTGGTTGTTCGTCCACTTATGGAGTTTTGTTCCATAAATTAAGGTTTACGTCAGCTTTACAGATCCTGCTCAACTATATGTAGACTGTTGTTTCCCTTGCCTCTCAAGAAGGCATACTCTGACTTAAAACAAAACAAAACAAAATCCCTAATCAATCGCAATAAACGACATTTGCAGGGAAAAAGTGAGGGGGTGTTGGTTCTATCCCCTCATCCCCCTCCCCCACCGCACCCCAATGACAGCGGAGCTCTGGAACCCACACGAAAAAAGGTATGTTGTCTGTTAGTTTTGTGTGTCCATTTCACGTGCAGTAGTTGGCTTTTACTTGCTAAACGGTCGCCGCTCATGCTAAACTATGCTGCGTTATAACTTTAAATTCTTACGTCCTTTTCAGGACGTAATTGTTAGTTATTTGAAGCCCCACTCTGGCTTTTGCCAGGGGCCGCAATATAGGCAGGCCATAAAAATGGCCAAATGTCTGAACGCGGTTTCTGGGACCTCTCCACGGTGATCCTCATCCGCATGGTGGCACGTTGTGTCATCGGGTGTTTATCGCTTGTGTGATGTCCTGGTGGAGTAGAAAGTCACTCACGCTCATGCTAAAGAGGAATTTAACTTGAGGCTGTCTGTAATTTATCCTTTGTTGCATGCATTTGGTTTTAGAATAATAGTATTTAAATGTTCTGTAGATATATTTTTGTCATGGCGTTGTATTGATAAGAACAATTTTGAATGTTCATTTCAAAGGATATATTTTCCATTTTATTATGATCATGAGAGTTATACCAGCAGGTACAAATAACCACTGGGGGTGGGGGGGGGGGGGGGGGGTTATAATTGCAAATAAATTATATATGTTGCATTTGATAAACCTAATCTAAGTGATAAACATCATCGTCTTCATCATTATAATCTCTCTCTCTCTCTCTCTCTCTCTCTCTCTCTCTCTCTCTCTCTCTCTCTCTCTCTCTCTCGACCAAATATTGTTATGTTTTAATCGTTATCTCTCTGGCCCCAAAATTATCACATTTTCAACATTTGCTCTCTCTCTCTCTCTCTCTCTCTCTCTCTCTCTCTCTCTCTCTCTCTCTCTCTCTCTCTCTCTCTCTCTCTCTTTCTTTCTTTCTGCTCCCTCCTTCCCCGTCCTGTCGTAATATTATTAATATTATTATTATTTTTTTAAATTATCCTTTCTCCCATTTCAGATTAATGTACATTTTTGTCCCCTGTCTATTTGTTTGTCTATCTCTTACGCTGTTTACATGATTCTCATTCTCGTTCGTTTTTACTATCTCTCTTTCTCTCTCCGTATATATATATATATATATATATATAATGTTTACTATAAGATCCCCGTTCTTTCGTATTCTCCTCTCCTATCTCCCTCTCCTTTCTCCCTCTCCTACCCTTTCTCCATCTTCTATACTCTCCCTCTTCTAACCTTTCTCCCTCTCATATCCTTTCTTCCTCGCCTATCCTTTCTCCCTCTCCTGTCCTTTCTCCATCTCCTATACTTTTGCCTCTCCTAACCTTTTTCCCTCTCCTAACCTTTCTCCCTCTCCTAACCTTTCTCCCTCTCCTATCCTTTCTCCCTCTCCTAACCTTTCTCCCTCTCCTATCCTTTCTCCCTTGCTATCCTTTCTCCTCCTATCCTTTCTCCCTCTCCTATCATATCTTTTCTCCCTCTCCTATCCTTTCTACCTCTAATATCATTTCGTCCTCTCATATAATTTCTCCCTCTCCTATCCTTTCTCCCTCTCCTATCCCTTCTCCCTCTCCTATCATTTCCTTTTTTCCTCTCCTATTCCTTCTTCCTCTCCTATCCTTTCTTCCTCTCCTATCCTTTCTTCCTCTCCTTTCTCCCTCTCCTATCCTTTCTAACTCTAAAATCCGTTCGTCCTCTCCTATCATGTCTCCCTCTCCTATCCTTTCTCCCTCTCCTATCTTTTCGAATATTTTTTTCGCATATGTAAAAAAAAATATAATGTTTATTGCAAGATAACAAAATGCATAATAGAAACGTTGAATGCAACAACACAGAGTTCAGTCTTTCCTAAGTTCAGGCGCCAGTGGCTACAATTGTCAATGTGACATTCTGTGTCGACAAACCGTGGGTCTGATCATCATTGGTGGGGACAACCGGGGATCGGTTCTAGAGGACGGGAGGGGGGAAAGACTTAGTGTGGCCACGTATGGTTACTTGCTGGTCGAGTTGTTGATGCCATGGTCTGCGACTTAAAGAGAAGTTTGTCTTTAAAAACCTGGGGCAACGGCAATTTGTTAACCCTGACCTCACGATTAGAGGAAGTCCCTACAGCCAATGACACAGCCACAAACGACAAGTTGAACAACGTTACTGAGTGCGTTGGGAAGTCATTCAGGAAAGTAAGGCAGTCGTCGTACTGCTTTCTCTCAAGATACAGTCGCAATGCATGCCTATCGGTCAACGCTGGAATATCAGAACTGGTCAGATAGAGGTTTTCCATAAAATAGACGCCAAGCGAGACATTTCCAGCCATCAATGCTGAACTAACGGGTGAGAGTGAAGTAATATTATTCAGTTCGTTTCTAACCAAAAGCGCTTGTGTGGGTGTAATATCAACTGGTGGTAATCCACGAGACAACAGTTTAGAAATAAGTAGAACTTGGCCACTGTGAATAAGTTTGTGGAAAGCAACTGCGCTTAAATACGCTGCGTTCGCTCCCCTGTCGAGTAGATAGTCCATACATGCAAAATGATCTTTAGTGAGGTCGCAGCCGAGTTCGGTGATGCTTGATAGGTGTGTTAGTGCTGTTTTTGTGCGATCTTTCTTGCTTACAGCGTTGATTTCTGCTCCGGAGTCAAGCAAAGCTGAGATTGTGTCTTTGAAGCAGTTTTTTGCTGCCAGCATTAAAGGCGAGAGACCATCCCTGTTCTGACAGTTGACGTCACATCCTGATTGGATCAGAAAAATTGGGATCACATCGTCCGGGGCTGGAAACTGGTTCAGAGAGTGCAGTAAAGCAGTGTTTCCATTGGCGTCTTTGATGTTGACGTTTGCTCCCTGAGCGATAAGTTCTTTGATCATAGTGATATTTCGACTGGTTACGGCGCACATGAGAGCTGTTAAACCCTTATGGTTTTGTAAATTCACAAATTCTGACTTTCCTTCAGAACACTGCAGCAGAAATGATACATTCTGAGAACAGCCTTCAAGTGCAGCATGCATGAGAGCAGTGTTGCCTTCTTCATCAGTGCCACACAGCTCAGCACCATGATCCAACAAAAGCTGAAGCACTCTACAACTTCCTTCTCTAAGAGCTGCCACTATCAGCGGCGTTTCTCCGTCCCAGCCTGAAACATTTGCCTGGGCCCCATTGTCCAGCAACACCTGAATCACCTTCTCCGCGCAACAGTCATATTTATACCTCTCAATGAACACTGTAATCAGGGGCGTCTGCTTTTTACAACCAACTCTGGTGACGTGGTTTACATCTACTCCCCTATCAATGAGAAACTGAGCAACTTCTCCATTCTTGGACTCTGCTAGAGGAGTGACTCCAGGAAAGATTGTTTCGTTGATGTCTATCCCTGTATCCAAAATCTTACCAATAATCTCAAGATTACCGCCTTTTACCGCTGAAATGAGTAACTCGTTTTGAATCTGCAGGTTTTCCATGAAATAATGCATAATTTCCTGATTGTAATTGTCAAATAAAAAGTTGCAATACTTCGGAACTTGCTGGTCAACTGCGATCTCTAATGCTTGATGGACATCAAGTTTTGCCCCATGTTGAAGAAGAAGTTTGGCACAGTCAATATGGCCGCAGCTCAAAGCAAAGTTCAGGGCAGAATTCGCGAATTCGTACCTGTTTGTTTCTGCTTTATATGCCAACAAAAGTTCAACAATATTGTAAAAGCCAAGCTTCGAGGCGGTTATCAGCGGGTCTGTTAGTCTTCCGTAGCAACGCTGATTGCGAAGAGGGAAGCGCCTATAGAGGAACTTATCATCAAACCAGCTGGCGTTGACGTCTGCTCCACATTTGAGCAAAGCTTGAATCATTGCCAGATCAGTCTCCTTAAACTGTTTCACGCCTTTTAGGCAATACGATTTGAAAATGGCTGTAAAAGCATCGTCGACACACTTCTTCATGTCCGTCGTGTACATCAACTCACAATGCAACAACAAACAAAATGATTTAAGATCCCGCTCTTCCATTGCAAGCTCTAATGGTGACAACCCAGTAATTTTATACTTTTTTAACAGCTGAAACACATTTCCAATCCCATATTTTTCAGCAACCTCTTGCGCATTTTCCCCCTTGCAGTTTACAGTTTCATCCAAAATTTTCCATTCTGTAACATATTCCACGGAAATTTCCGAGTTCCCATTTTCCTCCTGCTCATAAATATTCAACACATCGAGTTTGAAATACTCATCAAGCAGCAGATTTACCGTATCTATGTCACTGGCTTCAACTGCCAGCATGATAGCCGTGTAGCCATCTTTATTCTGATGGTTAATGTCTATTCTTGCTTGCCCCAGCAGAAGTTTCGTCACATCTTTGGATCTAGATGAACAGACAGACAGAATCAAAGCCGTGTTACCCGCACAGTTAGTAGCATTGATTTCGACGACGTTACAAGTTAGAAGATACTTAATTACCTCAATGTGACTCTTTTCTACGGCAACCATCAAAGGCGTGTTCCCGTTGGAGTCCCTGTAGTTGACATTTGCCCCACACTGAACAAGGTGTTGTGCAATGATTTTATAGCCACGACGACAAGCCGAAATAAGCGATTTGTTGAGTTCATCCGGAGACGTTGAATGTTTTCTAGAAAGGAACTGAATGGCCTGTTCCCGAGAGCCATGTTCGATCGTTTCAAGCAGGAGATAGTTTTGGTTACACACGGTTCTGCTTTCCATAGCTTTCTCTTATTTGTTAGAGTGCTACTTTTGTGTGTGTGTCTCGTAATATCTCAGAATTTCGGCAACTGTGGCGTTGGAGTTATGAATTCAGTTTCAGAAATCCAGCAGGGAATCACTCAACAGCCAGACAGGTTTGGAAGCAGATCGCCTTTGGCTTGACTCTGACAAACGGTAGTGACGTTGGAGAGGTTAGGAAGCAATGGCAAATTACCGAACGTAAAATTGACTGGTAAGACTATACAACTGCGAATGACTGCTAAGGTTGTTTTTTGAAGTCTTGTAAAGTATATACAAGTAACTTTATGTCTCTGATTATCGATCTTAGTTTAGCCGTCTTGAACCTGCCGGTCTGTTGTCTTGCAAGTTTAGTCCTAAAAGAAACAAAGAAAAAGAAACATTAATTAGTTCTATATTTTTTTCTATTCACCCCAAACACGGGGAATCCCGGAGTTTCCCGGAAAGGCCAAAATCATAGGGGTGTTACAGTCTGAGATGAACACCAACTAACCCTAACCTAACACCACCAGAATATTGGATTTGTTGGGTGAGTGGTGTGGTCAAAAACGACTTTCGTTCCCCGGTTTACCCAACCTTAAATGGGTACCAGGTAACGTCCTTAGATGTAAAGGCGGTCGGCGTAATGCTTACCACATCACCCGCCAAGTGTTAATTGGTCTATAAAATATAGATCTAGCCCTTTATGCCCAGTACGTTCTGAAGGCGGGGAAAAAGCATGATTTTTTTAAATTCCAGCACAGAACTAGCATGACACAATATATACAACAGTGCCCATGTGCTAACAGGATTTAGGAATAATCTGCAGCAGCGACACGACAGCGGGACCCGAGACTGAACTGGTGCTATTTGTTATGGATAAATAAAATCGACGGGTGGCACTGTAAAAAAAGGGGCGGGGGGGGGGTGGTACCGAAGAAGTTGAAACAATTAAATATCTCGGCTCCCACATATGTACCGAAGCCAGTTTCACCAAAGAAATCAAGGCAAGACTTGATATGGCAACAGCCGCAATGTCCCATGTGAATATGATGTGGAAGAGTGGAATCAGCATCGCAGTAAATGTCAGTTTTTACAAATCACTGGTATTGTCTATTTTCTTATAGGAATGAGAGAGTTGGACTCTCACTGTGGAAATGGAAAGGAGACTTCGGGTTTTTGAACACAAATGCTATAGATGAATTTTACAAATCAGTTATTTAGAACACGAAACTAAGAAATATGTAAGAGACAAAATATACTAATTCCCAGGGCATCATTGGTCTCTTTTGGCAGTGGTGAATCGTCGCAAGCTAGTCTGAGACATGATTCGATTGTATAGGCTATACTTCAAGAAACACTGGCGAGAGAGGAAGAGGGGTAGTAGAAGAAGAGGGGGCAAAGAAGAACATGAAATTACATCAACAAATGAATAGGACTAAATTATTATACACTTGTCCAACAAGCGGATACGGAGAAAGATGGCGGGTTCTGTGTGCTAGTGCTTCCATCAATACACCTCCACGACCCTAGCGGGTCAAGGGTTATGTTATTGTTTTTGCAAATGTTATGCCAGCCGGGTGCATTTTCCGACACCATTCAATAGATTGAGCCCACATTGAACCCAGTTTTTTTTTTCTTTTCTTCTTCTTTAATTTTTGAACGTAAACAACGATAACATAACATATATTCGTCTTCTTCTTTTTTTTCCCTTCGCGTTCACCCATTTTAAAGTTCAGCGGAAAGTTCTGGGTATTCGTCTTCTGGTGTTCGTTCCAAAAGAGACTTATTTGCCTGCGTGCTGCTGTTTTTTCAATGGGTCTGTTGTTTTCCCCTCACAGTGGGTCCACAGAATCCACACGGAGAGAGCTTACTTCAATAAGCAAAAAACTCCAAGGGCATCTAATCCAATGATCAAACATTCGACTTGCAAGCTCTGTGGTAATGTATGTGTTTATTTCAACAATAGTCCATTCCAACATATTTCACAAACATATATAATGAAGAAATAGTGGCTCTCCTTTAAATAACGGTCGCTAACTTTGGATAAGACGATATGTTTGCCAAACTTTAAAGTTTAAAATTGGGGGTAGTCAAATGCAAGAAGTATCCTTAAAAAATTAATTTAATAATTATATGCCAGCAAAATAGGGATGATCTTATAGCATACATGGAGGTCTTACATTTAGAAAAATACAGTAATTATTGAACGTAAATTACGCTAACATAACTTACAGTTTGCAAGAAAACGAAGTGCTGTCCTGTATTTCTATAAACAGAACATGGAAATAATTGTTATGGGGAAGAAACAACAACGCTAACACAACTTTTATTTAAACACTAGACAAAAGCAGATAAGTTTAATGCACGCACCGGACACGCGCTTCCCGTGTGCAGATAATGAGGTTGTCCTGTTTAGATTGTAACGCACTTTCTCCAACAAGTAGGCCAAGAATGCAACGGCGTAGTTTCCTCTGGTGGTGTGTTATAAAGTTAGGTTAAGGTCAAGAAGACCTCATTACACTAAGTTCTATTCCATGTGCCTTAGTCTCTCCCGGCAGAACGCAGAACGACTAGCCGCCTGCCAAAAGCGCGCACAAATCATGAACACCTTAGCCTCAGCGACGATTCTCATGGGTCTACAAAAAATTGTACCAGTAAACCGAAAGATGAAGCAGTGAAATGGACCTACGATCTTTAGAGTGTCAGGCAAAAGGCTTGTCTACTTCACCACGGAAGCCGCTGTAATAGTGTGTATACCAAGCCCTGCGCCCGGCTCTCTAGCGTAGTTGGTTAAATCTGACATCGCGGTGACAGGGTGACAAAATCCTTGTGGTCCGGGTTCACTTCCGGGGGTAGAGAAAAAAGCTACATTTCTCCCAGATTTACGGTACCTATTATGGAATCAAGGCCGAAGGGTTACGATATCCATAGTACCGAGCCAACGGGTTAACAACTCGTGGTTTCTGGATATTTAAAAAAAAAAAAAAAACTAAGCCTGCCTCATGATGACAGAAACATGAACAATCAGGTTCTTTGGTTGAAGATTCACAGGGGTCCTACTGGATGTTGTATGCGAAAGTCACTGTGGTGTGTAAAGAGATAATGAAGTCAGAGAGTTGTGAAGCATGAGCACACACGGATTTTCATGTTGTGTTGACGGGTTGTGAGTATAATAATTGGAGCCTCTTACAGTTGTGAAAAAGAGGTTGCTTGATATTCAAGGGTGACTGCGAACACCCCGAGTTGTGTAGGAGTGTGAGATCTACGTGTAGCTGAACGCTATTGTCGGGAGTTTATGGTGCTTGAGTCGGTTGCTTTCCGTCAGTCTAAGTGTGTGGACGTATGCGCGAAATGTTCAAGTCTCATTGATGCATGTGTTGGAGCTCGTATCTGTCCAGTGAATGTGGTAGATTATCACTTGTGCTTCGGAATGCTGCCAGGGTGATATTCGAGACTGGACTTGTGTCAGCCCATATGTGTGTGGAGTCGGCGAGGTTGCGTTTGTGTGGAACGCTAGTTGACGGGTGTTTTTAAGTGTTACAAGATGCTATGGTAACTGTGTGTGTGTTTTTACGAACGTGGAGTTGTGCTGGGAAATTATCGGGAAAGCTGGGTAACTGGAGATTAATCAGTGATACTTCAGTGAGTTACTAGGTAGCAGACGGGAAGTCTGGATTTTTTTTTTCCACCAAGTGGCGCAGCTACCTTGGGTACTCAGGTACCGGGGTCTCTTGGAGGGAGAACCGTCAGAGGACTGCCACTGCACATCACGTAGGTGTATCTGCTTGATCGGGAAGCGGGTCGCCCGTGGCAGCACTGTACATAGTTAGCCATAGTATGTTTTCATGTTCTGGAGAGACTGCCAATGTGAACGTATTTGGCAGGCAGCTGTAAACTTGACAGTGAGTCATTGATCACCAACTGGTCGTCTTCGCAATGTATTTATCCATAATAAAGAGACTGATCGCACGATAAGATCACACTTGGGGTAGTATATAGTATTACTGAATTCTTAGACAGTGTTATTGATTACGACAGGACATGTAACCCGTGCCAGATATATTGTGGTTGTTAACAGGTTACGTGTGCCTGGCTTGCTATGGTGCGCTTGTTTGGTTTGGCCCTCCTTTACTCCAGTAGAAGTCACCAGCAGCATCTGCCGTGCCAGTGAGAATGGGCCACCATGGTTCGTCATTTGGAGGAATCCCGTGTGTATGTGTGCAGGACTGACACTTCTAAACGACTCCCCTTAGACTAGACATTTAGCAAGTGTGAGGTACATCCCCCAATCGCACTCGTCAACGGAGCCATAACTCCCAATGCTCGATCAACCTATCGATCTATTCGTTTGTCCCGTCCGGTCTGCCAACTAAAGAGCTACCATATCATCATTAGATTAAACCTCATCATTTTGAGATTAAACCACATCATCCAGAGTTAAAACAATCGCAGTCTTAATGGCGGACCAACAAGGTATCCATACACTGTTCGGCCAGGTGTTGCGTGTAATTCTATTCAGGTAAGGATGAATACAAGTATGTCCTCCAAGGCATTTTTATATCCCTTTAACCCCCTCCACCCCTCCCCTCCCCCCCCCCCTTTTCTCCTACCTAACAATCAGTAAACAATCTTGATAGTGGGAACCAGACTTTACAGAAAAATAAAACAAAATTAACATCCAAAAAAGAAATGCCTGCCCAAAATGGCACATAGCCTCCTGAACGCTAACCCTCTGAATAGCTCTTTGTTTCCAGCTAGGTTTTTCTGATGCAAATTTTCCATTTCTGGACCGAAAGTCTAAAGCTTCCATCACTAACTACTGAGATGACATTTTGAGCTATGGATTCCGTGTGCAATGTTTTTATTTTCCTACTGTGTTCGCTGCGTGTTGTTGATTGCACTGAAATGGCAGATGGCAATTTACAGTCAGGATGGCATGTTTTTTTTTTTTTTTAAATAGTGTAATACCGGATTTCGTGACTGATCATTTGCGATAGCAG